TTCGACATTCTCATTGCCTGAGTTAGTAATTGATTGCCTATGGACGAGTTAACCCGCTAAAGTCGTAGTAGATTGTCGTGAGATAGGCATGGTGAAATGAAACATGCTAAGAGCTAGGCACAACAAATCAAACAGTATATTAATGTTTAACAAATATCAGGTAGTTCTGCGCAGTTTATACAGTACAGTTTAAATGCTAGAGTGTGCTATGTGATTGCATGTTGTATGTACTGAGGAATATTATTTTAGTGCCTTCAGTGATTCAATGGAAGCAAGGTTAAATGTCAGGCATGTTGTGCACTATACATAAGAGGGAAAAATGAAACAAAAAGACAGAGGATTATATTAGACCAGGCTACAGTATGCTATTAAACAGGCTATGATAGCCACCAGTCTGTCATGGCAACACAGAGTGAAAAAGGCTAAAGATAACTGTATGGATGAGCTTGTGGGAAGCAGCATGGACAGTTCATGTGGTGTGCCATGTTGGTGTTAAAGCTCACTGCAGGGTAGTGAGGTAACTAATGCTGGAAGTGTCCCCAGGTGTAGGATAAGGTGCGGGTGTTGGGGGGCCACCCTCCGGTCCCAGGCCGTTGAGGAGGCCAACACCTGCGGGCCACAGACTCGGGGCTCTTATAGGCCGGTTCTACCCCTTTATTGGTGTCCTGGAATATCCGGGTGTTCTGCCGCCACCTGCGGCGATCGGGCTTCCGGCAGTGTGGTCGGTGCCGTGGAATTGCCTTTGGCCGAGAATGGCTTGTAGTATGAGTATTAGTTGTGGCCCTGAATGGTGTGCCTGAGTGAGGACCCTTACTATTTCGCATCTCCTGTCTCTCTACCTTTTCCCCAGAGGCTGGGTGTGTCAGCTTGCTACGGTGCTCCAGGCTGTCCCAAGTATTATGTCCAGTTGCACCTGATAGTGCTCCATTGGATTGAGCTGCCTTCCAGCAGGTTGTGGTAGTGTGGGCTCTGGTCACGTGGGCTCATCCGCCATCTTGCATTGGCCGCTGCCAGTGATGCTTGGTTGAGAGATTGTTGGGGGGGTGGCGTTTCTTTATGCCTTGGGCTGGTGGAGACCAGGATGACCCCCACCAGTCCATAGGGGGGGGGGAACGGGAGTTCAGGCTTCATCGTGTTGTAAATAAAATAAGTGAGACAGCACTAAATAACTATGGCAGCAACCTTAAAAAGGGAATCCCTCAAACCCTATAAAACAAGATAAAAATAAAAACAATAAAAGGCTGCGCACATTAGATAGAGTCCAATAAAGAGAAAAAAGTCCAACTGGTATATTCTTACAGGTGTCCTTGGTTGGTGGGGTCTTCTATATATGTGGTGGTTTCACTCGTTATGAAAAATAAAAAGAGGAAAAAAAAGGGACATCCAATGGTATAGTATGTAAAATTCAGGTATAGACGTAAAATTAATAGTATAAAACTCACATTTACCAGAGCTAATGTCCAGCTCTGGAGTGAAGCGCGTACAGCGGTTTAATCCCCGCTTACAGGATATAGGCAGGTTCTTCTCCGTGAATGGTATCCAATTCTCGGGATAAAATAAACAGCCAATAGTGCTCACTGTATGGCAAATAATAATAAAATAATAAAAGAAATGTACTTACAAAGAAAGAGCAGACCCACTGCTCTTTGATGATAGCTTGGGTGGATTGATCCCCACCTGAGGATTTCTTTGGGTACAGGAAACTTCCAGGAGTTTTTTTAGGGTTTCTTTTAAAACCATAAAAAATATTTAAAATAACAATAAAAAGGCCAGGGTAAAAAAGGAATAATATGTGTCTATAGAAAAGATAATTGGCACAAGCAAATGACCAAAGATACTTTAATATATATAAAAAACACAATTTAAATATCCATAACGCGTTTCGTCACAAAGGGACTTTATCAAATGGAATAACCAGGTTGGCACAAGCAAATGACCAAAGATACTTTAATATATATAAAAAACACAATTTAAATATCCATAACGCGTTTCGTCACAAAGGGACTTTATCAAATGGAATAACCAATCTTGTTCATGTGGAAATTCAAACCTTTCAATGATTTTCAAGTTTCAATGTATAGAACGCATTAGCCATAACATTAACAGTGTTATTTATGAAAGGGAGAATTAAAAGTGAATTCAAATTTAAGGTCAAAAGAAGCAAACCTATAAAACACTGCATTTTGTTTTACTATTTGCACATTGGCGTTTAGCACTGTCAATGGACAAAACTGCACATATTTCAAATGCTGGCCCAGATTTTAACAACTTAGAACCTAGATTGTAAGCAGCCACATGCTATTGTAGACATTTAGTTGTACACAGATTGTAATTCAGTGGAAATTCAAGTCCATGTGGATGCTCTTTGGAAATTCTGGACATTGAGAAACAATGCACAATAAACAACGTCCAAAATTGTTCAGTCCAAATGCTTCTGGATGGATCCAAATTATCTTAGTTAATAACGTAGCTGGAGCTAAAGCAGTTAAATATTCACAAAATCTCATGTTGGGAGCCAATAAATATTCAGTCCCTGAAGAGAGCATCGTCATGGGAAGTATTACACTATAAAACAACCTTGATTTAGCAGCGTAAAGCTATTTCATCAGATGCAGATTAGAGGCACAATAGACATTGAAACAGGTAAAAATATTGCATGTAACAATGCGCTGAATATAGTGACAAAACCACAAGAGCTGTCACTTTGAGCCCACCTCAGTAAGATTAGCCTCCGTTAAGACTGACAGCAGAATCAAAATGTGACACAATTTGTTACTTACTGTTTTTAACGTTGTGTAACCGAGCATAGACCTTGCCACTCTAGCAACTAGCCACATGATTACATTTTTAGTGGTAAGTTATATTTCAGTAAAATTGCACAAATATTTTAAAAACAATCTTTGGGAAGAACGACTCACAGGAAGAAATGCAGATATTTATTGTGTAGTTGTTTTATTTTAATTTTTTTATTGTTATTGGAGTCACATTGCAAAGCAGTTCCCACCATGCTAGGTAAATCGGTATATTTGTATTTTATTTGGAAAGCATATTCACATTATATACACACTGAACAAAATTATAAATGCAACACTTCTCCTTTGCCGAGATAATCCTCAAACCCTGCAACATCTGTGGCATTGTTCTGTGTGATAAAACTGCACATTTTAGAGTGGCCTTTTATTGTGGCCAGTCTAAGGAACACCTGTGCAATAATCATGCTGTCTAATCAGTATCTTGATATGCCACACCTGTGAGGTGGATGGATTATCTCAGCAAAGGAGAAGTGCTCACTAACACAGATTTAGACAGATTTGTGAACAATATTTGAGTGAAAAACGGGTCGCAAGAGTATTCTGAGAACAGACAGCAGCTGAAATAGCCTTCCCTTCGGTGGGTCCCTGCTCAAAACTCAAGCTGGTTTTAGCTCATCTTGTGCCATTACAGAGAGAACATATCAGAAGCTTATCAGATTGTTCCAACCCATACGGGCAGTCCAGATCCGAAATGCCAGCAAGTTCTCTCTGCACGAGAGACACAGTAACCCCAGACGATCATTTCAGCCTTGTTAGGCATCATCAGTGAGGCATAGATAATATCTCTCTAGGCACTGTGAGCAAGGGGTCCACGTCTGGATTACCCTTTAAACTTATGTAGAGCAAAAAACGGGTCGCAAGAATATTCTGAGAACGGACAACAGCTGAAATAGCCTGCCCTTCGGTGGGTCCCCTCTCAGAACTCAAGCTGGTTTTATAATCTCTCAAAAAACCAAACTTCCATGAATATGAATATATATATATATATATATATATACTGAACAAAATTATTAACAACATATCTGAAGCATATGAGACTGGTCCCAACCATACTTAGAATACTCTTGCGACTGGTGCATATTCTCAGAATACTCTTGCGACCCGTTTTTTTGCTCTCCATAACTTTAAAGGATAATCCAGACGTGGACTCCTTGCTCACGGTGCCTAGAGAGATATCATCTATGCCTCACTGATGATGCCTAACAAGGCAGAGAGAACTTTTTTGGCTGGCATTTTGGATCTGGACTGCCTGTATGGGTGGGACCAGTCTGATATGCTTCAGATATGTTCTCTCTGTAATGGCACAAGATGAGCTAAAACCAGCTTGAGTTCTGAGCAGGGACCCAACGAAGCGCAGGCTATTTCAGCTACTGTCCGTTCTCAGAATACACTTGCGACCCGTTTTTTGCTCTCTGTAATATTTGAGTCAAATAGGCCTTTTGTGTACGTAGAAAAAGTTGTTAATAATTTTGTTCAGTGTATATATCTATATATATATTCATAGAAGTTTGGTTTGTGAGAGATTCTAGAAAGGTTACAGAAAACATTTTCCCAGGATTGAATAATCTTATCGTATGTAGCCGCTAATGCCGAGTGGACTATTAAATATAATGGTCTTTAAATTTTATAGTACATGCATGACAATGTGTAAAAGATAAGCAGAAATATCATTTCACTTACATATTTTAAGTGTGAAAAATCTAATAAATTAAGATGTTCAAATAGTCTTACTACTTATTATTAGGTATTTATAAGGGACATTTCTAGGAATATGCCATCCCTGAAATCGCACCAGAATATCTGTATATTATATATATATATGTGTGTATGTATATAATGCATGGTGTGAGTTCTTTTGTCTGCTCTTGGAGAGATAGCAAATAATAAATTATGACAAATCACAAAGGGGATGCTATAGTTAATTAATTGAATTGGTACCTGCTACATTTCAAGGATTTTTCTTTCATGCAAAGGATGACTATAAGAATTCATATTCTTTTTGTAAACCTATGACAATCTGGAAACTAACTATAAAACTAAATAAACATTCACATTACACAATGCACTAAATCAAGATTGAACATAGCAATCGGTGTTTGATTAAATAAATTAAAAAAAAGGCAGAAAATTTGCAAAATATTAAATTAAATTATGTAACTGCACTATGATTTCATTCTATAATTTCAGCCATCCGATGGCTCCAGAAAATCGCACATCGGTCTCTGATTTTGTGTTACGAGGACTGACTAATAGTGTGGAGCTTCAGACTACACTATTTGTTATTTTTCTGTTTTTCTACATTATAAACTTAGTAGGAAACATCTCCATTATGGTAATAACCATTAAAGATCGCAGTCTTCACTCACCCATGTATTTCTTCTTGTGGAATTTGTCTTTTCTCGATATCTGCTTTTCATCTGTTGCTGTACCTAAGATGCTTTCTGACTTCCTAGCTCTGAAAAAGACCATCTCTTTTGCTGGTTGTATCTCTCAAATACATTTCTTCCATTTCCTTGGAAGCACAGAAGTCATGCTCCTCTCAGTAATGTCTTATGACCGATATGTGGCCATTGGGAATCCCTTACGCTACTCAAACATTATGGACAAACATTGTTGTGTTAATTTGGCTTTAGCCTCTTGGGTTACTGGATATTTCCATTCATTGTTACACACTGTGATGACTGCAAAGCTTCCATTTTGTGGATCAAACCTGGTGAACCACTTTTTCTGTGACATTAAGCCAGTGTTGAAGTTGGCTTGTATTGACACATCTCTCAATCTAAAACTTCTTGTCAGGGTCACGGGAGCTTTGGCTACAACAACTTTACTTTTAACTCTTCTCTCCTACATCTTTATTGGCAGGTTTCTTATAAAGATACGCACTGCTGAAGGGAGGAAACGTGCATTCTCCACTTGTAGTGCTCATCTCACAGTTGTGTTCCTTCTGTATGGAACAGCTATCTTTACCTACATTAGACCTTCAAGCCAGGACTCTTTAGAACAAGACAAAGCTGCTGCTGTCTTATTTACAGTTATAACTCCAGCACTTAACCCAGTCATTTATACCTTGAGAAACAAAGATATGAAGAAAGCCATACAGAGAGTGATAAAGGGAATATAATTGATAAAAATATTTTAATTGTAAGCATGGTGAAAATGCACAGTTTGAAATCAAAACATCTATCATTATCTATTGACAATAAAAAAAAAATATGTACTGAAGACTAGCACAGAAATTATAATTTTGTTCACTTTACCAGAAAACCAAAAAGATCTCCTTAATTAAAATGTTTAACCTTTGATACAAGTGTGACCATCATTCAGTCTGTCCTTTCTTTGTTAAGGTATCTCATTGCCATAATTCCAAATATACAAATCCAGTGCATGTATAGAGATGTTTTGTGTATTTAGCACCAAAGTGCTACAAAAATAACTGTAACAGACCGTTTTGCACAGAAGGGGGAAAAAACATTTAGGCGATCGGCCCCCTTTCCGGAGATGCAGGCACAGCTACTGCAGAACACCAAACACACGAACCGCCAATAAGTGAATGCTCCAAACTCCTGAACGGCATCCAATATAGCACTCCAAATACACGAACAGGAACCATACGAATTGCTGCTAGCAGATGAATAGGAAAAGCATCCAAGCAGCTTACACTCCTATCAGCATTCAGTAAATCCCCCCAAAGACGAGACAAGGTTCCGTGTTGAGGGTCAAGCAGTGGTCTGTTTAATGAGGGCTACCTGCCCAGTAATTATGCAGGTCTCCCACCTGGTGGACACTCCCCTAGGGGACCAAATGGGAGACTGTGACAAGGGACAGACAAGCAGACAAATAGGACACACAGTCACAGTATATTCCCACAATGCATCCTGGCTTCATCCCCTCTGCCCTGGGAGATAATTGAGAAGTAATTCAATGATCTCCCAAGACAAAGGCAAATCTCCATTATGCACATGGGCATACTAAAACAAGCATTAGTGTTAAAATACACCAGGTAAGACACATTACATTAAAACTATACATTCTACATATCCCCAGATAGCTCAGGTCTGAGCGCACATTATTAAGTGAATGGCGCTCAGACCACACGAATACACACTCCAGCTCCCAAGGTCTATTCATTCATGCGGTTGTTCGGTAGATTGAATATACCGAACAACCGGCAGAAAAGCACGAATACAGCTTTTCTGCAGGCAAAATAAAGTCTTTTAACAGGGGGCCATAGTCCAGAGGCAGCAGGCGAAAAACCAGGCTTCTCCAATGCAATGTGGCGAGATTGGTCTTGTCACAATAACATTATAAATATAACCAGCAGAGATAGAGAAAAGGTAGCGCTAAAATCCAATATAAAAATGAGAATAAAGTCCAGCGCAGCTATAAAAACACCCAAGTTCTTTGTCATTAAAAACACTTACTAAGTAAAAATGGAAATATGAATAAGGTGATCGCGCACACGATGGTATGTAGTATTCCTATGCATTGTAAACATAAGAAAACATCATAGGGCAATTTGTATATTGTAAAAACATTAAACAAAATAACTTGGAACGCTCACAATATTTAGAGCCCATATAAGTCAGCTCTAAACTATGCTGGCATGTTCATCAGTAATCTGATGTTGAAGTAAAGATACTTTCATCGCCCGGTCCTCCATAAAGCAATAACGTTCTTCTGTTTAGGAAATCAAGAACCAGATGGATATAGAATAAACTTTTATTAACAAATCTAAATTTAAAAAAGCACAACGCGTTTCGACCATAAACATAGGTCTTCCTCAGGTGCATGTAGCTGTGTAAATGGACAAGTGTCCTTATATACCATCATAAATCACAAAAAAAAAAAAGTTTATGAGAATATGAAATATGATTATGCAACACAGCCCAGTACCTCCATTATTAGTTCCCTCTAGCTGGGGAATATCAAGCTGTAGTGGTTATAGCTCGTCCCCAAACACTAGACACATAGTGAAGGGTAAAACCAAAGCAATGAGTAAGCGCTAAATAACACAATAGAGCAGCAACCCTATAAGGGATTCCCTCAAAAACCCTTAGACGTAACACAAAGAAAAAATAAATAAAAGTAAGGGCTGCGCTGGATAAAACTCTGTGTAAAACAAATAGTCCAGATAAAATAAATGGATAAAAAGAGAAAGTCTTATCTCGAGTCGTCTGTTGAGGTCGTATGTTGTAATAATACTTGGTCCAGAGTAATTGTCCTTATTGATATCCTCCTTATGGATCCCCTCGTATGCAAGAGATAAGGGATAAAGAGAGAGCCAAATAGTGTAGTATATTCAACAATGGAGAAGATAAAAATATAAAAATCTAGAATGCAAACTCACATTTAAAAGAGCTGTGACCCGCTCTAGTGTGGAAGGCGTACAGCCCTTGGTCCTTGGTGTGGTAAGCACTCGGTATAAAAAAAACAGCCAATAGTGTTCTCTGGATAAACAACTTTAGAATAAAATTAGAGAATCGAAATGGGTACTCACAAGATAGGAGCAGATCAACTGCTCCTTGTAATTAGCGTTGGTGGTATAATCCCCACCTCGGATTACTTGGAGTCCAGGTACGATATATACATAAAGAGACATTAAATAAACATTAAAATGTATTTACATATAAGAAAATAAACAGTTTATACTTAAAATGGTCGAATTTATGCGCGGTCACGTGACCGGCATAAAACCGAAAGGGGTTGATGGGAGGTGTAGTTTGACGCCGGTCGGCACTGCGCAGCCGGCGGCGTCATAATAGGGAGAATTACCCATGCGTGCTGACGCCTAAGGGGGACGCGGATACACAGTAGGACGTCATTGCGTATGTGACTCATGTGCGCTGACGTCTAGAGGGGGCGCGGTATCAAAGTAGAACGTTAGAGCATATGCGCCTGACGTAGGGGGGAGGAGCTAGGATAATGACGATGGCACGCACAAATCTGCGGCCGTCGTCATCAAATGGGCGGGGATAGAAAAAAAGACTGCGGCTAGCAGAAAGCTGCAGCCGTTGTCATGGATACGGTTATAAAAACAAATCGGCAACCAACTTAAAAGACATCATGCCTGATCCACTAGACAGTGTGATCAGGCATGATGGCAAGAAGATAAAAAGAAAGAAATATAGAATAAAATAGAGAAAATAGTGAAGGGTACGACAACAACATTTACTGTCACAAAAGATGTATATTGATATGGACAACAACAACAGGGAGTCATCAACAGGGGCAAAAGGTTCCTGACCAGGTGTCCCTGTGTCTGGGAAATAATGTGATTATTTATTGCTGACTTTATGATTCTCTAGACATCAGGGTGCAGCATAATAAAACATTAAAAATATATATTTTTATTAACAGTATCAATACAATTTTGGCATCCCTGGACAGGACTGACTTTACCAAGCAAAATGCCAGGATCAGATGTACACAGCCTGAAAAATCTTTAAGTGAACTTTGACTGGGCTGTGGCTACTTTCCAATCCAGGGCAGAAGAACAGGCTATCGCAACTAAGTGCTGATCTTCAATATTGGGTGCTTTTGGCATTGGAGAAGGAGGCTCCGCTTAGCTCTCCATGAGTGTAGATAGTTTTTTACTTTTCCCCATCTCCTTTCCAAAAGCGTCCTCCTGGGTCCTTGGTGTGGTATGCATGGGTAATGGCACAAGAATGATCAGCATCTTTACTAGGTCCCGCTGGATGTTTTGTGGCTGCCCTGGTCTCCTAAAAGCAATTTCAGGGATGCAAAGTGAGCAATCTACATTGTAAGGGCATGTATGGGCTGAGCAAAGGCCAGGGGTATGATCAGCTCCTTTAGGGAAAGTTCAATTTCTGAGTCATGCACCAGTTACTCCAAAGGACTGGAGCAGGCTCTGCCACATGGCTCCCTGTAAACCATTAGTCCAGCAGATTATGGGTCAGCTTGGGGATAATAGGGTGCGCATGGCCACTTGACTAGTTCAATCTTTCAAGATAACATATCAGCATTGCCGTTCTACTTACTGGTGTGGTAATCGATGGTAAAATCATACGGTTGGATGGCTAAATTCTACCGCAATAGTCTGTCATTCTCCCCAACTGAGATTGTGATCCATGACCAGCGAAAATTGTTGGCCATACAAGTACATCTGCAGTTTCTTGAGTTACAGACCAGCACAAGGCACTCCTTTTCAGTGGCAGCATAGCTCACTACCTGGGTAACAGTTTTCACCTCAGGTATTTCACTGGGTACTCACACCTTTTCTGACCTGGCTTAATATGGTACCCAACCCAAACATTGAAGTTTCTGTGTGAGGACGTTTTAGGTTGGATCAAGAGCTGCCAGTACTGAGCTGTTGATAAGTGTTGTTTTTAGTTGTATAGTGTGGTGTAGTTCTGTCCCGCTTTGGTACCAATAGTGATGTCGCGAACCCGAAATTTTCGGTTCGCGAACGGCGAACGCGAACTTCCGCAAATGTTCGCGAACCGGCGAACCGCCCGAAACGCCATTGACTTCAATGGGGAGGCGAATTTTAAAACACACAGGGACTCTTTCTGGCCACAATAGGGATGGAAAAGTTGTTTCAAGGGGACTAACATCTGGACTGTGGCATGCCGGAGGGGGATCCATGGCAAAACTCCCATGGAAAATTACACAGTTGATACAGAGTCTGGTTTTAATCCATAAAGGGCAGAAATCACCTAACATTCCTAAATCACAATCAATATGGATTGACACCTGACATATGACATATTGACACCTGACATATGGATTGACACCTGTCCTCAGAGCCCCTGATGCACACGGACACAGAGCAGAATAGAGACTGGTCCCCCTACATAGGGTCACTTGGCAGATATGGATTGACACCTGTCCTAAGGATCCCTGATACACACTGACACAGAGCAGAATAGGGACTGTTCCCCCTACATCGGGTCACTTGGCAGATATGGATTGACACCTTGTTACAAACTGCTATTTGTAACGGGCCCTTTAAATGGCAAATTGCCCTGCTTCCCTGGGTTGTGGAGAAGCCTACTTGCCAGCCTCCTCCCGCATGACTATGGCCCCTGGGAGATTGTGAAAATGTATGCACTTTTATTTGGTGTGTATGGCCCTTTAAGACTG